ACTTCTGTGTATATTTAATCAACTTATATTCGTTATAGACAATTTGACTCTTAGTTTGCTATTTGCTTTTACAATTTCATAATTTTGTAAACTGAATTTTTTTTTATTTTTCCCTGGTGGATAGAAATTGAATATTAACGGGACGTAAAAAAATCCTTTTCTTGAATTGAAAAAAATTCTTTTCCAAGCAAAGTGACTAATACACTGAAAAAAATTTTATTTGTAGCAAATATGAACTGTGCCATTTAATTGACTTCAAATAATTATTATTTGACTCAATTAGATATTTAATTGATAGTCAATTAATCGATTATTTAAATCAAATAAATTTTTTTTTCAGTGTATGATTTTCTCCAAATATCAAATTGAGACAAAAAATGAATCAAAAGTGTTGCGAAGCAACTCTTTTCATTCATTTTTTGTCTCAATTTGATATTTGGAGGAAAACTGATGATAATCGAACATTATAATTATTGAAATATTGATTTCATGTATGGAACGAATTTATATTTGATTCAAAAATACGAAATAATGGGAGTGGATGATTTTTTTTTCTAAAAAGGACTCTTGCAAATTGGATAGACAAACGGCAAAAGGTCGTGGGTCCTCCAGAAACTGCAATGTGTGAACACGTTTTGCACGATGACGGAAATCGTTGGATTCGAACGGAAATTGTGAAATTCTCGATAGTGTCGTCCCACCCGGTTGCACATCCTGTCCCGTTCCACCCTTTTACCAAAATCTCGTTTCATATCTTCTCAAAAACTGCAAACGAATCTCTTTGTACTGTTTCAGTGAAACATTTTCTTTCATATGATATTAATCGCAGGGTTGCCACATGTCAGGGAAATCAGGGAAAAGTCAGGAAATTTTATTAAAAGTACTGGAGAAAAATTTAATTTTTTCTGATGAAAAAAAACTTCTGCTGTCTTTTTTTGTTTGCTTCAAATGTAAACTATGAAATTCTGTAAATAAATTTAATTTTCAAAAAATTACATTACAATATTTAAAAAAAAAACTAAATTTTTAGAATTATTTTATCAAAATTTTGAAAATAATTAAATTCTAATAGAAAAAAATTAATTATTTTCAAAAAATTACATTACAATATTTTTAAAAAACTAATTTTTACAATTGTTTTATGATAATTTTAAAAATTATTAAATTCTAAGGAAAAATTCAATTATTTTAAAAAGATTTTGAAAAGATTTTACAAAAATTCAATTATTTTCAAAAAATGATACTACAATATTTATAAAAAAACTAATTTTTACAATTATTTTCTGAAAATTTTAAAAATAATTAAATTCTAAGGAAAAATTCAATTATTTTTTAAAAATTACATTACAATATTTATAAAAAAAACTAATTTTTACAATTATTTTCTGATAATTTTCAAAATAATTAAATTCTAAGGAAGAATTCAATTATTTTTAAAAAATTTCAAAAAGATTCTTCAAAAAATCAATTATTTAAAAAAAATTCTGAATTAGAATTCAATTATTCTCATAAATAATAAAATTCTATGAAGAAATTCAATTATGGAAATTTTTAATAAAATTCTTCATAAGAATTCAATTATTTCGATTACAATTTGAATGAAATTCCTCAAAAGAAGTTAATTTTATTTTTAAGTACTTTTAATAAAATTCTTTGTAGATATTATTGAAAAGGTTTCAATTCTGGTCAAGATTTTAATTATCTTTATAAAGAGCAAAATTCTTCGTAGAAATTCAATTATTTTCAAAATATTTTAAAAATTCTCATCATAATTTCAATTATCTTTATAAATAGCAAAATTTTGCGTCGAAATTTCTCAAAAATTAAAAATTTGTTTTAATAAAATTCTTGACAAGATTTCAATTATTTTCAAATAGTAATAACATTTTTTGCAGAAATTCAATTATGTTCAAAAATTAAAAAAAAAAATTCTTGTCAAAGTTTTAATTATCTTTGTAAACAATAAAATTCTTCTCCGAAATTCAATTATTTTCAAAAATTTTAATAAATTTCATCGCAGAATTTCAATTATTTTTAATACAATTTAAATTGAATTTCTCGAAAAATGCAATTGTTCTTAAAATGTTTATTAAAATTCGTCAAAGGAATTCAATTATTTAAAAATTTTTGGATAAAATTCTTTATAAGAAATTAATTTTAAGAAACATTCCATTATTTATTTTTGTATCCATGAAATTACGTAAAATTTACTTGTAATCAAATATAGATTTGAAAATTCTCAGAGAACTTTGTCAAAAATTGTTAAAAATAAGTGATTCAAAGAAGAATTTTAGTTAAAAATTCGAGAAAATAGTAAATGAATACAAAAATATAAATGTAATAGAATTTTTTTTTTTTTGAGTATCTAAATCATTTTTAGAGTGAATCGCAGAATATTATTCAGGCTCAGGGAAAAAGTGAAAATTTTGTCTGAAAAGCAGGGAGAAACAAGATTAAATTTTTGTGACAACCCTGTTTACTGTTTTTCTGCAGATATCAAATTGAGACAAAAAGCAACACTTTTGATTCGTTTTTTGTCTCAATTTGATATCTGCAGAAAAACTGTGTTAATAATAAAAAGATAGTAAAAATAGAAAATTCTCCTTCTGCCCTAAAGTTTCAACCGAAATGCTTTGCCAACAATTTTTTTACAGTTGTATTATTATTAAAAAATTTTAAAATACAAAAAAATATTTTATATAATTATATTTTTTGTATACAATTGTGTATTTTCTAAAAGTGATGCATTAAATTGTTTAATTAAAGAGGACAAAATTTAGTTATGAGATTTCATCTAGAATTCAGGTATGTTTATATAGGTGTTAGAAAAGCACCGATAATTATTCAAACATAGAGACTTGAGGAATGACAAGGTAATATTCGTCGGGATACTGACTTCTGGGTGGAAGATGGTTCTCTTGGGAATCCATTAATTAATCCAAACTGCCTGCCTCTTGTCTACCAAAGGGATTATATTTCCCACAAGGTTACAAAACTTCCAGATACTTAACATTTTTTCTCAATTTATTGAAAAAACGCGGAATATTATTTTAAATTCCCCTCAACGAATTCTGTTATTGCAACTTTTTTTCTATTTGACGAGGAATTAAAATATCTAAAAATAAATTCAAAAATAAGTCTTAATATTCAAATGAAATTTCCCAGGGAAAAAATTAACTTCTGCTTATATTTATGGCACTTGTCTATTTTTATAAATTTTAACTGAAAAATGAATGGAATTGGAAAGATGGCGGTGGATTATACGCACTCTGCGTTAAAATGAAAGTAAATTGTCTACTTTTAACTAAAAAGTTAGGTAAGTTAGGAAAGAATAGGTAAAAAGGAGAAGAATTTGTTTTTAGAAATTTCAATTCAAGTGTAATTTTTTATAAAGAAACGGGAAAATTCTTCAAATTTGCAGAATATAATAGTTTTAAAAAAATTATCATTATTTTTTGAAAAAAAAAATATCTTTTTTTCATATAATTATTATTAAAACTAATGCAAACTTACGAGAGTTCTGTCGTAGCATTTGTGAGAATTGAAGCACCGAAAGCTCAAACAGGTTCTTCTCAAAAAATGAGTATTAGAGGGAGAATTCGTAAAAAGGAAATATATACACAATCCTATTCCGCTTTTGCGCTATTGAGGCCAGAAAAATGAAAATCGGTGGAAATATAAAATATTCTATCGTTTCATTACGAATAAAGTGAATAAACTCCTGAGGCAACTATCCATTTCCAAAAATTGCAAATAAAATTCCTGACAAGTGGTACCGGCCTATCAAATATACATGTCTCTTATCATCTTTAACTTCATCTCCCTGGGTTCTTCGGACACGTGATTGCGTTTCGGTACGCCGACACTGACTAAACTCCTGACGACTGGCAACCCGAACACCATCGCTCCTTGATCCTGCGCTTCCTGTTCCACCCTGTCTCTATGTTCGTTCGCCACCTCCTACAAAACCTTGGAACACCTGGGATTTAGAGGGGCAAATGAACTTTCAAGAGATTTTTCCACTATTGCAAAACGAAAACGCTTTCTTTCAAATTAAATTCCAATAGTGATTTTTTTTTTATTTTATTCTTTCTTCAATGTTTTTTTCTTTCGCTTCATTCTTTTGTGTGAAGGAAAATGATGAAAAATACCTATATTTTCCACACTTTTCTATTTTTCCTATTTGAACGGATAAATTTCCTTTTATATTCTTTTTACCTTTTTGCGTTTGATTATATTTTGCCTATTTTAAATTACAGAACTGAATTACCAACCTGGCGTCGATCAGGAAGGTCCCATTTACCGACTGTTGATTCATAATTGCTATCAATTGATAACTTGAGAGAGAAAAATCTTCTTTATCATAAGAGGGTAAATTTGTCTCTTCTGTTTCTGCAATGAATCGAAAGATGGCAGTAACGTTGTCTTCTAATGTAGGCGCTTTTTTAAAAATATTCCTAGTTTTCCCTTATGTATCAGGGAAAAGTCGGGGATTTTTATTAAAGTACTGGAAAAAATTGAATTTTCAAAAAGTTACAAATGATTGCAGAAATTCAATTATTTTCAAAAGTAATATTAAAAAATTTTACAAAACCCATGTACAAAAGTCCAAGTGTAACTAAAAAATTAATCAAAATTTCCCATATTCCCCTTTTTTGAACTTATTTTACGCTGTCGACATATAATAATATTCTTATTTAATAACTAAATTATTTAAAAAGTAAGAATTCTATGTAAAGTACAATTCGTAAAATATTACTAATTGTTACTGGTATACTGGTCAGTACTGCGCCAGTTGTACATTTTTGTTTGGGTTATATTATAAACTTTTATTTAGAATCAGCCATTTTGTTATTTATGTTATATTTGATTTTTATTATATGAATTTTTTCATTGTAAATGTTAACCAGGAAAGAAAGTTTCCAATAACTGACCAACAGATTTTACGCAGGTGAATGTAAATGCCCCTCAGTATTTAGATAGGTGCTGATCTTATAAGTGACTTTACATACGAATCAAGTATGTATTGTATTAAGATTAAAATGTAACTTTTTGGAATACGAATAAATTTGTGAATGTGTAGTTTTTCTTTTTTTTGGAAGATAATTATTGAATCAACATTTTATTATTAAAGGGTATGATAATGTTTACTATTTTTATTTCATTCGATTTTTAAATTTAAGGATTATTTTCAATTATAATATTATAATATTTTACATTATTTATTTAATTATTAGAGTTACAATGTAATCAATTTTTAAAGGGACGTTTATCTTGTAGGAAATGAATTGTTTAATTATACAAGTCTATAAATAGTATGCTTATAAGCGTTTGCTATTTAGTAATACGTACATTTATTGCAACCTTTCTAATAGAATGTTATACATATTGGATTTGTCTGTTCCGCGCGGCTCGTCTTGATTCGAAACATACAAATTCTTTCGATTCATGCTGTTAATTTACCATATCTTTAAATATAATTATGAATTTTATTGATTTAATTATAAATGTTAAAAAAAAAAAAAAAAAAAAAAATGTAATAATAGCAAAGTTTAATATTTTTCTTATTATAATGTTTCGCAATATTAATGAGTGTTTAATAGATTTTTATTAAATGACATAATAAATGTTTTTATAAACATTTATAGATTTAATGCATTAATTGAAAAAAGAGTAATGTTTCTTTCACGCAAAAGTTTTGTTGACCCCACTTAAGTCTATAGTTTTCAGGCTTATTCACTAGAGAATTTCGAAAGTCACGTTTATCCAGTTTTCGCTCCTACTCTTTTTTAATGCTCATTTTTTGTGTTTAATTTTATTAAAAATTAATGTTTAAAATTAAAAAAGTTAAAAAAAAATATTCTCGTTTTATTTTATCTTTTTTATGCAATCTCAGTTTATTACACTTACACATGTAACATTTTAACAAATTGAAAAATGAAAACTTTTACAAAAAAATGTTTATGAGCTTACAAGCCGTAAAATTATATTTAATTTCAATATTAGCTTTTATATTTATGATTAAATTATTGGCTCTTACTTATTAAATTTTTTATTTTCAGATTTAAAATTTTATAAGCAAATATGTGGAATGAAAGAAATAATAGAATATTTGTTCTGCGTCGTCGAAATAGTTATTTTTGGCAAATAGCTATATTTTACTTTTTTATTAAATTTGATTCTTTTTATGCAAGGGGTAAGAATAATATTTACAATAATAACTAAAATAGTAACAAATAGTAACGTTATACATCTATAACTGGTATACTTGATTGATTATATTTTTAATATTAAAAACTTTGTTTTTATTTTGCAGAATGTGAGGTTGAAGGCTTACAAGTATTTTACAATTCTTTAAAACCATCTTTAGATGAAGCACAGCTGGAAAGAATTGGTCCCAAATTTGAAGTTGATTTTTATAATATCAGCATTGTAGAAAACTTACCAAATGGTTTTAGTGTTTTGCAAGTAGTTGCTCACGATAGAGTTCAAAATGAAGAATTTATATATGAATTAGATGATGATTCTGGTGCTTTTTTGATTGATTCAAATTCAGGATGGTTAATTGTGAGGAATTCATCAATTCTTGATAGAGAAAAACGATCCATCATAAGAATGAAAGTTTACGCATTTAAAAAGTCTTTTACAGATATTTCAAACACAAATAATGTTGTTAATTTTTCAAATGTTTCATGTTCACCAACAACTGTTGCTTCTTCAACATTTGCAAATGTTGAATTACTAATTCTTGATGTTAATGATAATAATCCAATTTTTTTACCAAGCAACTATTATGTATTAACAACTTTATCAAATTCGAATATTGGAGCAATTTTGGGAAAAGTTCATGCCATTGACAAGGATGAAGGGAAAAATGGATTAGTTTCCTATCGTTTGCAAAGATCGGAGAATATTACATCTCCTTTTGCAGTAGATATATTTACTGGAGAAATATCTGTAAGAAAAAGTCCAATAATGGTTGGCAAGTATATCATCTTTGTTGAGGCTATGGATAATCCTTTGAATCCTAGTGAAAAACGTTTCTCTCTGGCTGTTGTTACAATAAATGTAATTCAATCACCCGGTCAGTATATTTTCTTTATTGTTTTATATTATAATGCATGAGATCTATTTACTTCAAGAGAATATGGAAATTTTAATTTTCTTCGTGTAGTAATTTTATTGTTGATATTTTTAACTAGTTTTTCAGTCAGAAAGTCTAAAATTTATTGGGACACCTTACAAATTTTGGATTCAGATAGATGCTCCTATTGGAAGTACTGCAGGACAAATTTTCACAAATAATGTAATGAAAGATAAATACTTGTTTGATTTGCTGCATAGTTACAGAGACGGAGGTGAGAAAAATTAATTTTTGAATTTGGATTGTTATTATAATTTTATCTCATCAACAATTTTATTACAGTTCCCTTTGCTATAGAGGAAAAGTCTGGGGTAATAACTGTTGTTGACGAAATTAGAAAATACAAAAACCATTTCTACGAATTTGAGGCAGTTATTGTTGAGAACAATGACATTGTTCTGTTAACTAATGTGACTATAATTATAAACTCTGAATTGAAAAGCATCAATATTGACAACAACATTGATAATAAAAGAAATAAAACATCAAGTCTGTAAGTTTATCAAGTTTTTTCCTTTCGCAAATTCTTTCTTACGATTTTAGAAGAATGGAAAAGAATTCTTATCTATTAATTGTTAAACACTTTATAAATAATAAGTAATGCTTTTCATTAATCTCTTCTCTTTTCTTAGGCAAAGTCCACAAATTTTTCACATAAGCGAGAATTCAAATACCAGATACATTGGACAAGTCAAGTCAATAAAATCCAAACTAAACGAAAACGTGAAATTTTATATTACTAATCAAAAAGATGTTTCTGAAATAGGAATAACTAATGATGGATTTCTTTATACAAACCATTCCTTGGATCGAGAAGAGAAAGAAAATTATAATATTACAGTTGCAGCAGAAACTTTAGCTGAAATTGAAACAATTCATGTATGTGTCACACGTCTATATAAATATATACAACTATAGATCCTTATTTTGTAAAATAACTAAAAGTTTTAGTTAAAGTGTTGAAATTTAATTTTAGATAGTTGTTATTGTTGACGATGAAAATGACAATGCACCACTATTTAATTCAAACTCTTATGAAGGGTATATATTTGAAAATAGCCCTTTGGGAACACAAGTAACTATGAAAAATAAAATATTTGCCTTTGATTTAGATAATAATATTAATGGAACCTTTGTATATAAAATTTTTGATGATGGTAACGGAGACAGCAGTTTATTCGAAATAGAAATGAATAGTGGAATTATTTTTTACAAAGGATCATCGAAAGAAGATAACCTAGATAGAGAAATAAAATCAATTTATAACATGAAAATTGTCGCTATTGATAAAGGTAATTAATAAATAAAACGAATCATTGTTCCTGGTATGCATGTATAGCACAACATTTTCGAGCTCTCTCTCTCTCTAAAGTGTATGCGATTTAATTATTTTATTATTGCATGTTATAAATAATTAATTAATGTTTTTGCTATAGGTAATCTTCAATCTGTGGCGAATTTAACAATTACAGTAAAAGATATTAATGATAATGCTCCTAGTTTTACGAAAATAAAAATGGTTCTCGATAAAAGCGATATTCAAGTATTAGGATTTGCTAAGGATACGGATAATACTTCCTTGATTGCTGATAGCGATAATTATTTCATTCATAAAGATGAAAAAAGTCAACATTATTATCTTAGTTATTACAATAACTTGGAAAAGCAAATTAGTAAATTACAAAAACCAATTATTTACATATCAGAAAATGTAAAGTTAGATTCAACCGTTTTTCAACTTGAAGCCCATGACAATGATGTTGATAACAATGCAATTATAACTTATAACATTCTATCAGAAAATTGTAAAAATATATCTGAGCCATATGAAGAGCATTTTATAATCAATTCGGAAACTGGTCAAGTTTCCATTAAAAAACTTTTGCCTGGAATGGATGTTTGTCTTTATGTCAGAGCCATTGATGGTGGAAATCTTGCAGATGAGATACAATTAAAAATTCATATTACTTGGTCTGAAAATGATACTACCACTACAAGTCCTCCAAAACAACAACGATTCATAATGTCCTTTTTCCAAACTGGTGCTTTTATTTTAAGTTGTATTGTTTTTATTGCAACTTTTTTAACTTTTCTATACATATCATGTGCACGAAGAAATAAAAGGTAAGATTAGAATTAAAATCAAATCTAAAGTATAAATGATATAGCTTGTAAATATATTTGAATTGTAATTTTTGTTTATATTAGAACATATCTAAAATCTGCTGATCCTTTCTTAACTGCAAACGTTCTCACGAATCATCATATGCAAGGCATTAATTTCGAACAATTATTTAGCAAAAATTTTCAACTTGGTCAGAATACTTGTGATCATGAATCCAATAGCGATATAAGATTATCCAGGTAATTAATATACACATAAATACCAGTAAATTATCAAGTTGTATAATATTAAAGCAGCCTGACGACTAAAAATTAAAATCAAATATAGAAATATTTTTGAATTTAAATGATACATAATTTATTTTTCTTTTTTGCAATTTAGTTTTCCCAACTGCAGAGCTTCTATGGATACTGATAAGAAATTTGTTACGTCAGCAACTTCTTTATATTCCTGTTGTCATGATTCTGGAGTAATTGCACGCGTTTGTCATTGTAACAATATGTACAATTCAGAAACATCAAGTCAAAAGAGTAACAAGTTAGTAAAAACTATTAGTCTTTATTAGTCACTGTTGCGTGACTTTTGTTTTTAAATGTTGTTAAATAAATTTTTCATTTTTCAGAAGCTACGAAGATTCACTGAAATCGTTTCAACGACATTCATTATCATCAAATATTGAATCGTTCACAAACTATCCTACACATAAAATGATTCAAAATGCGGAAAAACAATTCAATTTTTTTTCTAGAGAAAATAATGTTAAGGATGATGTTTTTATTCACAAACATGAACAATCTATAGCAAAAGAATCAAATAATTCCAAAAAGATCATGAATAAATTGCCAACTGGTAAGATATGAATTTCCGTTAAATCAAGCTTTTAGAGGACAAAAAGCAAGATTTTCCCAAATCTATGTCTCATAATTAATGTATGACCATAATTTAATTTTAATACTTACATTACATAAAAAATGTTTTTTATGAAAAATTATATATGTATATGATTTTCATTTTACAAAAAGTTTGTTGCAAACTTACTATCACTAATATCATTTGCGCAAAATTATGCATAATTTAATTACTATATTTATTTCAGCATCTGGAACTCAAGGTCGAGTGTTGTACTAAACAATAATAGTTGAGAATATTAAAACAAATCAATTATAATGTAATTGAAAATAAAAAATAAAATAAAAGAATAGAAGAATGGACGATTACTATAAATGACTATTAAATTTCAGAATTAACTATAATAATTTGAATGTTCTTTCATTCATTCACTTTTTTTGTCCCTCACACTCTGAAGTTGTCTCTTGTTTATACTTTTGTTTTTTGTTATCTTTAGATAGATTGTATATTATATTATTATGTTATAATTATTTTTAATTTATAATTAATTCAAAATTGTAATGACAAATAGAAATTATCAAAATTTTTTGTCACTTCTTTTCATTTAAAGATTGAAATTATGCAGATTTTTGTTCTTTACTTCTAAACAAAAATAGAAAATTGTTAAACAACTGTAATTAAGAAATAGAAAATTTATTTATTTTGCTTTATTTTTCTTAATGAATCAATGAGTTTTATTATTTATGAAATAAATTGAATTCTTGCTTAGAATTTTATCAAAAAAAATATTTTTAGAAAATTGAATTTCCATGAAAATTATTATTATTAGTGAAATTAATTGAATTTTTCTGAATTTTTCTGAATTTTTTGGGGAAATTTTATTAAAGTAGTAGATATTGAAAATCATTGAAATTAGAAAAATGCATTTTATTTTTGAAAGTAATTGAAATTAGGACAAGAATTTTTATTAACATTTATGAAAATAATTGAACTTTGGAGAAGAATTTTGTTATTTATAAAGGTAATTTATAAACACAGTTGAATTTTATAAGAAGAATTTTAATTTTTTTTTAAATAATTGAATTTCCGCAATTATTTGTAATTTCTCCAAAATTGAATTTTTTTAATGTTTTCAACAAAAATTTAAATTAGAAAATTTTTAAATTCTATTTTTAATATTGCTAATTTTATTTAAAAAAAAGGTAGTAAGAAGTTAGCCGCGCGCTTTAGCGCCCGAATTGTTGCTAGTATATGTTATTTATTGATAATTCATAAAATAAAGATTAAAATATTTTTTATTATAGTGCAACGAGTGCACACTTTGTACATGAGAATCAAGTAAAGTGAAACAGCATTAAGATGTTTAATTTATTATTTATTTAACACAAGACAATATTTCTGTTTTATATTTGTGAATATTTCGATGCATACACAGATAATCGCGTACGTATAGTGATTAGTTTTTATTTTCTTTTTTTCAATTTCCTAGAAAGTAATTATTTTTGAGATCAAACTTGAATTTTTTTCTACGCATTACATACTTATTTTATGTAGACAATAAAAGAAAAAGTTGTAGAATATAAATATAGCATTGATTGAAATTTTATAAAAGTTACAGATACTGTTTTTTTTGTACCATTAATCGCAAATCATTAAAAGCAATAAACGCATTCCTCCTCCTATATAAAAATAATTTATTTCTTGAAATATTTTTAAAATATCATTTTCTCACAGCGTGTTATAATAATAAAATACTTTGACAACATTGTGACAGGAGAATTATTTTAACGAATGACAATAAAGCAAAAAGAAATGTGTATTCTTTATAATCATGTTAAAATTGCACAATGTTGAAATGCACAAGTCGTTAATTAAAAAAAAAAAGAAGTTAATGTAGCACCAACATAAATTGACAATATTTCACGTGTGATGTATGACGGTGTAGTTAGATATACATCATTTTCTCTTTCAAATATTGTGTGTAAGTTGCGAGATTTTAAAAGCGCAATCATTGCTTTCAGAAAGCATTCAACACGATTGTGTACTATATAGTTGGTAGTGGTTGTCGATATAATTGTTTGTATGCACAAATAATGTGCACTGTACATACTGTACCCAGCTTCCGGAACGAGTTCTTACTTGATCCACATAAACTCATCATCCGGCCTGATTCAGCCTATCACGGCTGTTTTAAGCATCGTCATAAGACGTTTGCTCTCAATTAACACGGTTCTTGATTTAAAAATCAATCAATTTAATTCTTTACACTCCATTATGGTTAAAAATGTATGAAACATTGCTATCTTGATGAACAGGAGGTCCATGAAAGTTTCTCCTTGCAGGATGATGATGATGATAATGATGGTGGTAAATATTATTATTATTACTATTATTATTATTACTATTATTATTATTGTTGTTGTTGTTGTTAACATAATACGATGATTTTCTTATGCTTGTAGAGGACGACATAATAGCAACAGTTTCATAGTAACGCAATTTACCGCAACATCTGCCACTCTTTAAAATAGCCATGAAACCACGCCTATATTTTTTATTAAAAAATGCATACAGTATTGGATTGATGCAAGAATTACTGGAACCTAACCATTGAGCTATGGGCGTTGCTATGGGCAATATTTCATCTTCCCAATCAGCAATATCACCACCCAATTTGATTCTAGTAAAAATAACATATAATGGCAGCCAGGATAGTACAAATAAAATAACTACCACAACCAACATTTTAACAACTTTAACCTTAGACTTTTGCTGCAATCTTTCCATTTGTGCATCCTTAGTGTCTGTGGGAATATGTCTCTTCCAAACTCGTATCCATATTAATACGTAACATAAGGAAATTAACAACATTGGTAAAACATAGCAAAGCATCAAATTACCAATGAGAAAAAATAAAGAACCATATTGTGGTCTAGGCCACATTTCAATGCACAACCTTAAATCTGGATGATCTTCTTCGTAAATTGCCACCAAGTCAAAAAATAGTAGCCATGGCAATGTTGTTGTCAGAGCAATAAACCATATAATTATAATCATAAGTCGAGCTCTCTTTTTTGTAATCTGACATTTTAACGGCCACCAAATTGCCAGAAATCTGAAAAATAAATAAATGAAAAGTGTTATTAATTTAATAATTAATCAAGTTATGTATTGCGCAATAAAAATTGCAATGAAAATTGTAAGAAAAAAACAATTACAATGTACTTTCTAATACGGTTCCCGACCATTTTACCGAATGACCATTTTTCCGCAAGTTCGTTTTGCCGAAAACCGATTTTACCGACGTTCGGTAAAATTGATTCGGTAAAATGTACGGTAATCACCAGGAAAAAAAAATTTATTTGATTAAAATAACCGCGATTAAATTTTTATTGTCAAATAAATATTCACTTATAACAAAGAATTTTTATTTAATTAAATGGTATTTGCCACAAAAAACGTCAATAATGGCGCGATTGAGTCAATTTCGGCGTGCCAGTTACGGCGGGAAAAATAACGTGTATTTAGAAGTTATGGCGCGAAGCAATTTTTGTTCTTAAATAATTAATTTAATAATAGTTTAAATGAGTGTTTATTTACGTAATACGTACAATTAGGATATCGAGGAAGATTGAAATCAACTTTTTCAATAATAACTATATTATTTTAAAATAGCGTAAATAATTATTTATTTCACAAAGTCGCCATAATTCGCACAGAACACTCTTACCCTATGTTTATTTTTCAGTTAAATTAAAAAAATTGTTCTTATGATGTTGATGGTTCAAGCCCTAAAAATCTAGTCAGATCGCAACCTTATACTGAGAATGATTTATGGATACTTTTTACAGTTAATTTAAATATTATTTACATAAAATTAAAGGAAATTGTAACATTTTTTTAGATTACTTTAATAATGATAAGTGCATTCTATAGTTTAAAATAATGGTCCATTTCTTTTAAATAGAATTTATATTTGTTTATGTAATGTTGTTCTATTAAAAAAAACATGAATATATAGTTGTTACAGATTAGTTATACAACAGTGTTATATATTTGTCAGTTTTCAACGCTGGCATTTCTCATAACATGCTTGTAACATGATACAACCATTACATATTCATATCAACTGGGAGCAATCACATATTAGAATACTTTTCGGAAAGGAAAAAATATTTATGTATGTAAGTATATTTTGCTGTAAACTTCCATTCTTTAATACGTATACTTAGTGCATTTTATTTTCGAAGAAATTTTATGTCATGTGAGAATATAATTATGTTATCATAAAAGACAGGGTACCAATAAGTTATGTACTTTTTATCCGAGGTCCTTTTATTTGTATGTGACTATTTTAATGCAATTAAGAAAGGGTTAAAAACATACAGAACACTAGATTTAATAGCAAATAAATTTTATTATGAATTTCAATGAATGACAATATAAGGACAGTAACTTGATTTATAATTTTGACGTTTCAATAAGAAAATTTTAAATGATGATAATAATGCCGTTTTTCAGACAATAGTAGCCAATGAAACCAAAACGATAATATTTGAATTTCAGTTTTTTAACCATGAAGTCCATGCAAACCATGTCCAAGGACGTGTCCATGAGAGGGTAGGAAAGTTCTAGTTACGATGGGAGCATTGTGAACAACCGGAGCAATTGGCTGAGCAATTACATGTGGGAGACTCACATGCCCATGACTGATAATTTGGGGTGTGTGAACTGGCCCCAAATCATGATTTAAAACAATACCAGTTAGGCCCCCAGGGAAGGCAGCAGCAACAGCCAGGATAACGGAAAGTATAGCCTATTTTATAAACATATTTTTTTAACAAAGTAAGTAACTGCTTGGTTAATTCAAATTAAATTGCATTATTCATTAAAATATGATTTTAAATACATTGTTCTTTTAAATAAAAATGTATTAAATGATGATATTTTTAACAAGTCGAAACATTGGGGCAACATGAATTTTGAGAAAAGCAATAAAAATTTGCAAATATAGTTTTCTTTTTTATTTTTCCCCAACATAGTGCATACAACTAGTGAAATGCAAATGAAACTCACCAGCTTGAACATGATGCTATGATAAATGAAAGATGATTACTTTTCGAATTATGGGATACTTGTGTCTCTGAATAAGAAGTTTCCATCGTTTTATACAGATTGACAGAAATAAAAAACCAAACTAGATGAACAAATAAAAACAGGAATATGTTTGTGTTAAGCAATTGAATGACGGCAATTGAAGAAAAGATTGAGTCAGCCACTCACACGGTTGTTGAAATTTTAAGCTGTGTAAAGTATTTTGAACCAATCAAATGGTCAATGAAATATAATACAATCTATATTTATCAGATTATAAAGATGGAATCGCAGTTGTGAGAGAGATCGACAAATAATCTGACTATATATTCAAGTATAACATTTATTATAATTAATAGTAAAATTAAAGAATTTCTTTATTTTTGAACCTAGTACTGTCTAAATTTGAATGAGGAAAATTTAATTGATTCCTAGCGATATTACTAATTCACAGCGTATATGCGCTAATTGAAATCAATCGTATATATCTAATATCGCTTTTTCAGATTGAGGGAGAACAATATACAGCTTTTTTTTAAATATGTATATGTAATGGTTTTAAGGGTAGCCGCGCATCACTAACCCACAATAAAGCATAGGTAGATTTCGTAAATTTTTAAAAAATTATGATTATAAGCTTTTAGTAATATAATAAAAACTATAAGGTTATTATGGCACTTAATTTATTCTAAATATTTAGAAAATTTAAACTGTAGTGAAGAAAAGTAAAATTTAATATATCAATACCAAGATATAGACATGTACTTCATTTAAAAATAATATAAAACTAAGAAAGTGGTCAGTAATAGAGAAACTTGAGTAGAATAGTGTAACAGAATACATATTCTTATTGACTAAAACTAGGTACAATCACTTTTCAGAAAATTATTATATACGACTACATGTGAATATATAAACATTACCTTTTTGGTAATGTATCAGGTAATACTCAAAAATTTAAAAGAAATCTCTTATCACAATTATCATTTAAGCTACAGAATAGTTTTCATAATTGTTTGGGGGTATTTGCGACAATTTGGCAAGTCCCCTAAACTTGATTTTTGTTACAGCGCGCGTATCATCATCGAAACAATATAGTCGAAACATTCTATTGAAGAAATAATGTGTATACTTAATAATGCTGCAAGTTTAGATGCTGTATTGGAATAAATAAAATTTATTGGTTATTAATGCCGTATATTTTTATCAAGTGCAATACGAGTGCAATTTTCAATAAAATGAAATTACAATATTACCTGTCTAAAGAAACTGCAACGAGACTATATACAGAAGCAGCAACTGATACGCCTTGAATATAGGGAACAGTTTTGCACATAAACCATCCAAGAACCCAAGCTGTAAGAAATTTTAAGATTATTAACAAGATATCTGAAAAAATTATTAATTATAACTCATATTTAACTCAAAAAGATTCAAACTATTATTTTTTATTGAAACTACAAGAAAATTCCAAAGAATAGCTAAAGCTAGATTTGCTCCATTGCATCAGTATTTTTTTAGAATCTCAAAAAACATGACCAATTTTACAATGTAATAAACAAGTTTTTTTTAAATTATTTGAAAAATTCGTTCCTCGGATATTTAGGTTTTCCAATTACAAATTTTAAATTGAAGTAAGATTCTGGTCAGTTAAAAAACTTTTGATAATATACAACATGCGATTAATAAAACTCTTGGTTATTTGAATTGCTTTTACGCGTAGTGCGGTCTCTTGAAGTTCAATTTATCAAGAGTCTACAACTGTATATCCAATAGTTTCTGGAGTTGCTGAATTTGAAATTTTTAAAAAATTTGTTGTTAAACAGTAATTCAGTATCATGAATTAAAAAAATTTATAACCTATCATTACTACTGTTGAATGTCAAAAAGGTATTTTGTACCAGGCAGAGTAAACTTGAGAAGAAATCAATTGTATTGGACTATTAAAGACAAACACGAAAGATAAAAAGATATCATTAAAAATTACAATATTCAAAATTTTTGATTTTTTAAAAAAGTTTTTGTCACATACAGACATTTTTTTATGGGAATATTTGGATTCCTTGGTACTCAAAATAAAATATTATGAGCATGTGTTCTATAAATTAAATAAATTTAAAAATTATTATTAAAAAATTTTCTCATTTTTCATCGATTTGCTAGAATTAAAAAATTAGAAATGCCGACTAATTTTGAAAAATTCGTAAAAAATGGAAAGAAACTAAAGACAAAAAATTCTAATAATAACAACAACAACCTAGGCACAAGAATGACCTAGTACAAGTGACCGAGATGCATGACCTGAATTCCGCTTCTATACAGGTGTCCTACTGCCCTCTACCCCCAGTCAACATATAAACCAATTTCACCTTAAATAAAAAAATTATTTGGCAATAATAAAAAAATTTACAAAAAGTTTTAACAGAATACAATAAATAATTAATTTTTTCGGAAAGGATCTAATAATAATATTAATACTTTCTTTATTGAATAAAAATTTTCAAGTAAGAGTTCAAGGACATGAAAAAATACCGAGAAAAATAGACTTTAAAAAGGAACTTTAAAGCATTACTGGAAGAACCGAGGAAGAACAGTAAATGGATATAAATGTACATTAATACATTGTTTACTATTTGAATGTATCTAATTAATACCAAATTAGATCAAGTTGATGATTTCAAGGTTACACAATTTAAAGGTACACAATAAGGTACCTTTAAAAACTTGGCATATGTTTTTGACCTTGTACATATATATTTTTACTATATGTGACAGGGACCTGCTACGAGGCGAAAAAATCGATTTTCACTTTTTTATCGATTCTTATAGTAAATAATTTCACGTAAAATAAAAAAGTATAAAAAAAATTCATGTATAATAATTATTAATAATAAAATAAGCAAACCCACCAATTTTTAAAAAAATCAACAAAATTGCAAAGACTAAGTGCAAAAAAATAAAACTGCTATATGCGATCAAAACCGCAACAGCCCTGTGTGCAGAATGGAAGACCTTGAAAAAGTAGAACAATGTCCGCCATGAGGGGTTATACAAATACACAAGCATTCGCACAGTAAGAAAAGGTTGCTCTAAATTTTTATAATCACTATTACCCTTTTACAAATAAAGGTAAAACAAAATTTGTCAATCTTAATGAAAAAATTTTGTATAATGATTCATGATAAAATAAAGGATGATGATGAATTAAAAATTGAATTAAAAAATATTGACATACATGAAAAATTTAGTTTAAATATGTAATCAGAATAAACTTACGGACAAAGATGTTGCTCATTAATGTAGCTGGTAGACAAAATACGATGACCAACACATCAGCAACGGCAAGATTAACGATAAAAAAATTTGTAACTGTTCTCATTCGTGGTGATCGATACACCACAGCGATCACAAAACAATTTCCAATCAATCCAACAACGAAAACAATAATGTATGCAACACAGTAAACAGCAGACATTGCCATACTATGTCTGTATAATAAACGATCAGTTACTGCAGGTTGTTCAGAGTTGCTATTGCTTTCATCACTTGATGAGGAGTTGATAAATAATCTGCTCATTGATTCTTCCATAGCAGAGCGAGGATTAACAACAGCCGAAGAATCTGTAGACGATGAAGAAGTTGCCGTCAGTAGCAGCGAATTATTAAACAAGTATTCACTGAATCTGCCTTTCTCACTACGCCGGACATGATTAATGTTTGATTCTTCAGAACGAGATGTCAAAAGTGCCATCCCTATTAATGTGAAAGAGGGTGGAGGTTGTGCCGGAGACTGTGGCACGTCTGGTTGGAACATTAGACCAGTAAACATAAAAAAAAGTCACTAAAATCTCTGAAAACACGAAAGAATTTGAAAAATTTATTTTATATTCTATAATAAACAGCGAAGAAAAAGATTTCAAAATATATTCAGTGGTATCAAAGAAAGAAATTGAATTGATTCCACTAACGTGAATTATTATTAAAGTGAAATAATATTGTTCTGTTAAGGTCAAATAGATTTGTACACTGTAGTACTTGCAAGCACACTACCTGACGATTCTCTAAAGCAATGTTTCTTACTCACTACACATTCAGCGCGCTTGCGTTTGCACATTGCGTAGTGCAGTACCTCACATTTAACAATAAAAACACATGTTATCATTATTAATAAAATTCATTTCTTAAGATAATTCTAGAGTTTGCTTCAATAAATGGATATAAATGACATGAAATATTTCTATTATTTTACATTCTTAATATGTATCAACAACTACAATTTTTTAATTAGATACCAAAATATTATTCTCATATTTCGTAAATCAACAAAGAAACATATAACAATTTTTAAAAAAATTCTTTATATATAACATTTTGTAATGACTTTAAAATTATCAACATCTACAATATTCAAAAGGATATGAAAAATTCAATTATGTTCAATATTTTTTTTTAATATTAGTCAAAATTTCAATTATCTTTATACATAATTAAATAATTGTATTTAAATAATTCAATTATTTTTATAAATAATAAAAATTTCACAGGAATTCAATTATTTTGCAAAACTTTTAGTAAATTTCTTCGCAATATTTCAATAATTTTCATAAATAATAAAATTTTTCCATGGATTCAATTATTTTCGTAAATAATAAAACTCCTTGCAGAATTTCAATTATTTTTAATACAATTTTAATCAAATTCCTCGAAAAAATTCTTAAAAATTTTGTTAAAATTCTTCAAAATAATTCAATTATTTAAAAATTTATTAATAAAATTTTTTATGATAATTGAATTCTAGGAAACATGCAATTATTCAATAAATTGTTATTTTTGTATTTAAATAATTGAATTCTAGTAGAACTTTCTCTTAAAAATTGATTTCAATTCAAATTTTAGATTATAAAAATTGAATATTAAAAGCATTAGAGCGTAAATTTTAAGAAATAATTGAATTTTGAAAAGGTTTTAAAATTATTAAAAATAATGGATTTATAGAAGAATTTTAGTTATAGAAACACTTTAAAAATTTCAAGTTTGTAAAAATTGCAAATTATTGCAAAAATTAAATTATTTTTGAGAGTAATAATATTCTTCGCAAAAATTAAATATTGTTCAAAAGTAATGAAATTCTTCTTAGAGATTCAATTATTTGCACAAATAACAAAACTCATTGCAGAATTTCAATTATTTTTAATATAAATTTAAATCGAATTTCTCGAAAAATGTAATTATTTTTAAAATTGGTATTAAAATTCGTTGATAGAATTCGATTATTTGAAAATTTGTCAATAATTATAACGATTCTTTATGGGAATTGAATTTTAAGAAACATTCAATTATTCAATAAATTATTTATTTGCATTTCATTTGTATACTTAAATAATTGAATTCTAGTAGAATTTTCTAATAAAAATAAAATTGATTTAAAAATGAATTTCAGTTAAAATTTTAGATAAAATTGAATATTAAAGGCGATATGAATTTTTAGAAATAATTAAATTTTCAAAATAACTTTTTTTGAAAAAGTTTAATTGAATTTTGGTTAAAAATTCTTGTAAATAATAATTGAATTGTAAATAATTTTATTACTTGGTCATCTTTAATTATTATAAAACATGAAGAAATCGATCATGAGTTATCGATATCTTCATGTTTTGTAGAATTATGTAATTTTGTTAATTGTGTAGCAGTTAGTGCATTTATTTGGTTTACACCAAAATTTAATTGTTTTATGATAATCGAGGAATTATTTAAATCATAAGAATAATATGTTTAGTATATTGAATTTTGAAAATAAATTTTTAATAAAAATTGAATACGCTTGTTTTAAGTAATAATTTTTGAAAAGTTTACTGCAATCTTTTTTGTAAGATTGAAAGTCTTTGTCAGCCAGGAAAAATAATGTTTTCATATAAAGCTTTCAACTATTGAACATTATTTGACTGAGTCACTGCAGATTTCGGCGAAATATTCATCGATTTACCAGAGCAGCGGCTTGCTATTCGTTCTGTGGGAGCTAAGGGATACTCGCGAGTGTATCAGTGGTGGTTGTGAGGCGTTGCTGCGCGCGGCTCAATGTCTACCTCAAGATATTATTGTATTTAAAGGGAAATATATTAAAAAAAAAGCTGCAGGGTAACAAAGTCTCTTTTTTTATATACTTGGTAAAACTCTTTTTATTTTATATTATTATACAGTATTTTTCTTAATAAAATTTTCACTTTAATACAATCTAAAACTAATTTATATTAATTAGCGATTTATAATTAATTAGAAAATAAATTAATACTTTTTTGTATTTTATTTTAAGGTGATGTTTGTAAAATGATGGTGACAGTGTAGAATGTGCTTAAATAATCCATAGAAGTGGACAAAAAAAACTTGAATCTTTTTTCTATATTAAATCATTTTCTTGGTCAATTTTAGCGTGATTTGACTAGGTAAGGTATTCGTAATATTCCTAAAAATTGAAATACTTGTGGAATTTTAAATAAATGTTCGTTTTGTTATAGGTTATAAGGGGAAGGAAGTGGATACAATATATGTTGAATGCTGCGTGTTTACTTCATTTTTTAATTTAAGACTTTAAAGAATACTGAAGATGACTCATTATGATAATGGCTTCATTTTTACAAAATGATTATTGATTATTAAAAGTTTACTCTTTATATGGATTGAGCTGTTTAAAAAAACACTTTGTTGGTTGTATTTCTAACCTTTTCTGGATCATGAGCCATAATCTGTTTCCTTCACATCTTATACTGCCATACGATTATAGTTCATATTGTCTTTGCGATAAAATTTTTAGCGCTAACAAAGTTAACAAATGCTTATTTTTTAAGATAATACCTTGTAAACATTTAAAGGACTTTTTATATCAAGTGCCCCGTAAACAAATTAGACGACAAAGTTTCTATGAAGGCTTTTTGCTTCTTGCAGCAGCAATTTACATATTTCTTGTTATATTTATTTCTACAGGTATAGTATATATTAATATTATTAAATTCACAAATCAAAATTGTTGTCATCATTTGTCTCTTGTTTTAGCATCTGGAACTATACAAGATAATGAAGATAATTCCAAGAATGCAGCTTTTAATGATTTAAAGGAATTTCATGATCTAAAATCAACGTTTCAAAGTGATCTTAACGGCATTATAGATTTATTGGAGGCACTGCAATTACATAATAAAACTCTACAAGGCATTACACAAGTTCCCGGTATCATACGATTAAAACCAGCGTATTATTTTCAGGGTAAATTTTATTTTTTGTACATGGTGCAACAAAAATATGGAACCCCCTCAAATTCATTTTCTGACCACATGTAGTTTTCAAAAAAGTTGTTAATATAATATATTATAAATTAATATGTTTTATAGGAGAAGATAGGGAACTTCGATTGAATGAAAATCATTTTCAACAAGTAACTTCATTGCTTCGACAGTGCTCTGAATTCACAATGGTTGCAATTTTACGACAAGAAGAAGCTAATTCTGGAGCTATAGTAGCGTTTTCGTATGGTAACAATAGGTATTAATTTGCATTATAGTAATTAAAGTTTTATATTAAATATCGAAACCGCGCGTCAAACTCATCGCAGTATCAAAGAATAATTAAGTATCTAATTATAGTAATCTTTTTAAGGTACTTGGAACTGCAGAGTAGTGGCCGAAAAGATGAATTACGTCTCCACTACGTATCTCGTCATGATGGCACTATTCACATTGAAAGATTTCCATTTCGCCTAGCAGATGGTGCATGGCATAAAGTTGCACTTATTATTAGCGGTTCCCAAGTTGAGTTGTTAGTTGATTGTCACCCTCTTTACCGGCGACTCCTCAGACCAGGAGCTCCTGACACAAACTTTACAAAACCTTTTCTTCAACTATGGGTAGGACAAAGAAGTATTAATCACTTTCTATTCAAGGTAATGTGTATTTTAATATTAACAATTGTTCACCTTATAATAATAAATCAATTATATTCTAAAAAATAATATTGAATATCATAATTATTTGTCATAGGGAGTCCTTCAAGATTTAAAATTAATAGCAAAACCTCATGGTTATCTGTACCAATGTCCACAGCTCGATTTGTCATGTTCAGCATGTGATCATTTTTTACTTTTGCAAAAAACAGTTGAGAAAGTATTATACGACATAAATGAACTAACTTTCAGGGTGAGTTTTTGAAATTAATTCAACACTTAAATATATGGAGAATTACATATACTTAATAACTTTTAAATAATCTCTATCATCATTATTATTATTACTATTATTATTAATGTTTAGGCTACAGACATTTTTTTTCATAAACTTCCTCTATTCAGTTAGCAACCGCAGAAAAAAGAATAAAGAAATTAGAAGATTGTGAATGTGAAAAATCTTGTAGAGTCAATGGAACAGTTCATGATGACGGAGCAACATGGGAGAAAGATTGTCAGCAATGTTCTTGTGTTCATGGTGAAATAAAATGTAAACTAACACCTTGTGCTCCAGTAACTTGTAAAAATCCGATGGTGCCTATTGGACACTGTTGTCCAGTATGTTTAAGTAAGTAATTAATTGTATTGTTATGCTTATTTCTTTTGCACGCTTTCTTTCGTCAATTTTTTTATGACCAAGCAAAGTTGAATGTGTTATGATTCAAAAAACATGTCTGCCTGAACTCGACATTTACCACTTAAATAAGTTTCTGATACTAAAAATTAAAAGTGCCCTAGTAGTTTCAGTCTTATTGAAAAAGGCCTTTACTACTAATACTAAAATTTATAATTTCAGTCTAAGTATAGTAAAAACTACTTTTACAAAAATTACTAGAAGTTTCGATGATTAAATAAATATTGAAAAAATACTGTTTTTTAAAAAGATGAAAAACTTTACGGCTGACTACAACTAACATCTTCTAATGATACTGAAAAAATTTTTAGTTTAAAACTTTTAGTTTAAGACTTTTAACTACTAAAGTTGTAAAATTAAAAAATACTATTCTTTGTCAGACTAAAAACTGCCTGCACTACTGAATCTAAAACGACTATAATTTTAATGTTTGTCTTACTAAGTAGTATATTTAGTACTTTTAGTCTGTCTGACTATACATTATAGTTACTACTTTTACTAAAAATTACAAGAACAAACATTTTTGTGATATTAAAAATTACATTATTTACAGAAAAAGATAAAAAAAACAACCTTTTTTAGTGCTTAATGATAAACAGGAAAAATGCGTCTGACTAAAACTGACGATTACTACTGATCAGAATTTACAATATAAATTATAGTGTTTCCCGGTAAACATTTTTTACCAACTAATAATAAATGCAAAAAATTCGTCTGACTAAAACGAATTTCTACTACTGAACAAAAAAAAGTAACAAGAAATTCACGAATATTGTTTACGTGCAGGAAATTTTACTTTATAAAATAATTACAAAAACGTATAAAGAAAATTAAAGGGCAAAAGTTATTGAGCATTGTTGTAAACAAAGAAAAATTCGCTGCCATAATAATCTTCACCAATCACAACGATTTGAAGATCATTTCAATCGAAGATAATTTTTATTTAAATATTTTATTAAAAAAATAATTTTTCCTATCAAATTGTTTTTCATTTTGAAAAATTTATTAAAAATTTGACAAATGGAACAAAGTTGAATCCTAACAACCTATTCAACTTCGTACCATTTGTCAAATATTTTCCTTATAATCCCATTAAATGTCCATTATATATCATTACGGAAATGGAAACGAGAAAAGTTCAGCTTTATTTTTATATAATTTTCATAAAAATCGACGAGGGGGTGTTTTATTAAGATTGCCGCATAAAATCTTGATCCAAACTCAAAAAATAATAATTTTTTTATGCTATATACATGAATATATTAGCAAGTAACATTTGAAAAGTTATGAGGCTGAAGTTCGAAACGTTTTTGAAAACGAAAAATTAAAAATAAAAAAAGTAAATTTTTTTCAACGTGAGATTGTCCCAAATGATAACCAACACCTAAAAATAAATTTTTGTCCCCCTACCCTCTTCGGTTCCCTTCGTCTATGGGGTAAAATGGTCCAAAAAATTAAAAAAAATTTCTTAAAAATAGAAAAAGGCTCAGGGGAAAAATTTTATTGCACAAATCAATTGCATTCACAGCCAGGAAGCTGTAAAAAAATTTGCGCCCCCCTACACCCTTCGGTTCCCCTCGTTTATGGGGTAAAATGGTCCCAAAAATTAAAAAAAATTTCTTAAAAATAGAAAAAGGCTCGGGGGAAAAATTTTATTGCACAAATCAATTGCACTCACAGCCAGGAAGCTGTAAAAAAATTTGCGCCCCCCTACACCCTTCGGTTCCCCTCGTTTATGGGGTAAAATGGTCCCAAAAATTAAAAAAAATTTCTTAAAAATAGAAAAAGGCTCGGGGGAAAAATTTTATTGCACAAATCAATTGCACTCACAGCCAGGAAGCTGTAAAAAAATTTGCGCCCCCCTACACCCTTCGGTTCCCCTCGTTTATGGGGTAAAATGGTCCCAAAAATTAAAAAAAATTTCTTAAAAATAGAAAAAGGCTCAGGGGAAAAATTTTATTGCACAAATCAATTGCATTCACAGCCAGGAAGCTGTAAAAAAATTTGCGCCCCCCTACACCCTTCGGTTCCCCTCGTTTATGGGGTAAAATGGTCCCAAAAATTAAAAAAAATTTCTTAAAAATAGAAAAAGGCTCGGGGGAAAAATTTTATTGCACAAATCAATTGCACTCACAGCCAGGAAGCTGTAAAAAAATTTGCGCCCCCCTACACCCTTCGGTTCCCCTCGTTTATGGGGTAAAATGGTCCCAAAAATTAAAAAAAATTTCTTAAAAATAGAAAAAGGCTCGGGGGAAAAATTTTATTGCACAACTTAGTTGCATTCGATGCCAGAAAGATGTAAAAAAATTTGCGTGCCCTTAAACCCTTCGCTTCCCTTCGTTTATAAAGTAAATTGGCCCAAAAATTAAAAAAAAAATTAATAAAAAATTTTTTAAAAATTGGAACAGGCTCGGGGGAAAAATTTTATTGCACAACTTAGTTGCATTCGATGCCAGAAAGATGTAAAAAAATTTGCGTGCCCTTAAACCCTTCGCTTCCCTTCGTTTATAAAGTAAATTGGCCCAAAAATTAAAAAAAAAATTAATAAAAATTTTTTAAAAATTGGAACAGGCTCGGGGGAAAAATTTTATTGCACAACTTAGTTGCATTCGATGCCAGAAAGATGTAAAAAAATTTGCGTGCCCTTAAACCCTTCGCTTCCCTTCGTTTATAAAGTAAATTGGCCCAAAAATTAAAAAAAAAATTAATAAAAAATTTTTTAAAAATTAAAAAAGGCTCGGGGGAAAAATTTTATTGCACAACTTAGTTGCATTCGATGCCAGGAAGATGTAAAAAAATTTGCGTGCCCTTAAACCCTTCGCTTCCCTTCGTTTATGGAGTAAAATAGTCCCAAAAATTAAAAAAAAAATTAATAAAATTTTTTTTAAAAATTAGAAAAGGCTCGGGGGAAAAATTTTATTGCACAACTTAGTTGCATTTAATATTAGTAAGCTGTGAAAAAATTTGCGTGCCCTTAAACCCTTCGCTTCCCTTCGTTTATAAAGTAAATTGGCCCAAAAATTAAAAAAAAAATTAATAAAAAATTTTTTAAAAATTGGAAAAGGCTCGGGGGAAAAATTTTATTGCACAACTTAGTTGCATTCGATGCCAGGAAGATGTAAAAAAATTTGCGTGCCCTTAAACCCTTCGCTTCCCTTCGTTTATGGAGTAAAATAGTCCCAAAAATTAAAAAAAAATTAATAAAAATTTTTTTAAAAATTAGAAAAGGCTCGGGGGAAAAATTTTATTGCACAACTTAGTTGCATTTAATATTAGTAAGCTGTGAAAAAATTTGCGTGCCCTTAAACCCTTCGCTTCCCTTCGTTTATAAAGTAAATTGGCCCAAAAATTAAAAAAAAAATTAATAAAAAATTTTTTAAAAATTGGAACAGGCTCGGGGGAAAAATTTTATTGCACAACTTAGTTGCATTCGATGCCAGAAAGATGTAAAAAAATTTGCGTGCCCTTAAACCCTTCGCTTCCCTTCGTTTATAAAGTAAATTGGCCCAAAAATTAAAAAAAAAATTAATAAAAAATTTTTTAAAAATTAAAAAAGGCTCGGGGGAAAAATTTTATTGCACAACTTAGTTGCATTCGATGCCAGGAAGATGTAAAAAAATTTGCGTGCCCTTAAACCCTTCGCTTCCCTTCGTTTATGGAGTAAAATAGTCCCAAAAATTAAAAAAAAATTAATAAAATTTTTTTTAAAAATTAGAAAAGGCTCGGGGGAAAAATTTTATTGCACAACTTAGTTGCATTTAATATTAGTAAGCTGTGAAAAAATTTGCGTGCCCTTAAACCCTTCGCTTCCCTTCGTTTATAAAGTAAATTGGCCCAAAAATTAAAAAAAAAATTAATAAAAAATTTTTTAAAAATTGGAAAAGGCTCGGGGGAAAAATTTTATTGCACAACTTAGTTGCATTCGATGCCAGGAAGATGTAAAAAAATTTGCGTGCCCTTAAACCCTTCGCTTCCCTTCGTTTATGGAGTAAAATAGTCCCAAAAATTAAAAAAAAATTAATAAAAATTTTTTTAAAAATTAGAAAAGGCTCGGGGGAAAAATTTTATTGCACAACTTAGTTGCATTTAATATTAGTAAGCTGTGAAAAAATTTGCGTGCCCTTAAACCCTTCGCTTCCCTTCGTTTATAAAGTAAATTGGCCCAAAAATTAAAAAAAAAATTAATAAAAAATTTTTTAAAAATTAAAAAAGGCTCGGGGGAAAAATTTTATTCCACAACTTAGTTGCATTCGATGCCAGAAAGATGTAAAAAAATTTGCGTGCCCTTAAACCCTTCGCTTCCCTTCGTTTATGGAGTAAAATAGTCCCAAAAATTAAAAAAAAATTAATAAAAAATTTCTTAAGAATTGGAAAAGGCTCGGGGGAAAAATTTTATTGCTTAACTTGGTTGCATTTAATATTAGTAAGCTGTGAAAAAATTTGCGTGCCCTTAAACCCTTCGCTTCCCTTCGTTTATAAAGTAAATTGGCCCAAAAATTAAAAAAAAAATTAATAAAAAATTTTTTAAAAATTGGAAAAGGCTCGGGGGAAAAATTTTATTTCACAACTTAGTTGCATTCGATGCCAGAAAGATGTAAAAAAATTTGCGTGCCCTTAAACCCTTCGCTTCCCTTCGTTTATAAAGTAAATTGGCCCAAAAATTAAAAAAAAAATTAATAAAAAATTTTTTAAAAATTGGAAAAGGCTCGGGGGAAAATTTTATTTCACAACTTAGTTGCATTCGATGCCAGAAAGATGTAAAAAAATTTGCGTGCCCTTAAACCCTTCGCTTCCCTTCGTTTATAAAGTAAATTGGCCCAAAAATTAAAAAAAAAAATTAATAAAAAATTTTTTAAAAATTGGAACAGGCTCGGGGGAAAAATTTTATTGCACAACTTAGTTGCATTCGATGCCAGAAAGATGTAAAAAAATTT